CTACAAAGCGTTTGATCCAAGAAAATGGAAACACTACTACAGTAGGTATTATAGTTATCGGTTACACACATAAACTGACCTGGCTGGACCTTGTTGTAGTAGTCTGTGAATGTTTTCCTCAGGCTCATGGCCCAACTAGACCACGAGGACTCACCAGGACGGGCGCGACATTGGGATGGCCAAGCGAAGATCCCGCGGAGGTTTCGAGAACTTTTCGCCTAGTGTGTTTATACGGATGTTGAGAGCTGTGGATAAGGGGCGCGATCGCACATCACAGCATCAACAGTGGGAAGCGATTCCGAGGCAACGGAACTTCGCTCGCAGCTCCGAGCTGATCTGCGGATCCTCCAGCAAGCACCTACACATAACATGTTTGCCTTGGCATCCTAGATGATGGTATTGTACTGGCGTAGGCGATTTTCAACGCTTATGAGCTGCTTCGTCAAGCAGTGGCTCGTAAAGCGAGGGTGTTGGAGGCAAGCCGTCTATGGCTTGCGAAAGGATTTACCTAAACATGATAATTCTCTGGAAGGAGAATTCTGGCCTCAAACGTGGTGGGAAGTACAGCGATTGCTCCTATGTATGGTACACACTGTGTACCATACATGGAAGCAAGCGTTGCGGAGCGAGCGAAGCGAGCGGAGCATATACCGCAACAACAGGCACTTTAACGTTGTGCGTGCGTGCGTGCACAATTATTCTGGCTTAACTACGAAGCGTGGGAAGCGATCAGATGGATCAAATAACTCCTCTATATGCAGAGGTGTTGGGAAAACTAGATTATGCGAACAGCTCGAAGAGATATGCACGAAAGACTTTAATGATGGAGAAATGTCCTACCCGGAGATCGAACCGGGGACCTATGTAAAATTCAATGATTGAGTCCATGGACGTGGACTCAGTGAGCTCCACCCCTTCGTCACGAAGGCCTTGTGGATAAAATGATCCCAGGATTCTGCAGTATGGGGAAACTGGGAGTCCTATAAAAGAGCAATGAAACAAATCCGGGTCGTTTCACGTACAGAGGACGGTTATCCCTGCGCGTGTTGCGACTTGAGATTCGGCAATTGCCGGCATAGTTTCGGAGTTCGCTTACTCAAGAATACCTTCGGAAGAAAGCTTGGAGAAGGTCCAAACAATTAGGATCTGCCTCCATTGGTCGACCAAAGTGAATAACCTTCTCTTTGTGGAGCGTATCTAACATTTTTCTGCTCTCAGATTCACAACCAACACAGCACTCGAAGTGGATGAAGACCACAATCGATATTGTGCGACAATACAATACACATATCTTGAGCGCCCTCGTGGATAATGTCCACTGGATATGGTTCGCGCTACGGCTGGCCCCCGTAAACGACAACTTCCAGCAGGGGCACGAGTAATCGCCCCCTTTTATAATGACATGTCGGAGAGCATAGTGCCTGAGGATTCTCTAGCTGTCGAGGCCGATTCCAGTGGAGATGAAGCCAGTAAGTTTTCGTTCATCATGAATGGTTCATGCACAAAATTTGTACATGAGAATACATACATTTTAAACATAAATTCAGGTTAAACTCAAAATGATTCTTCATTTACAATGCCGGATCTCATGAGAGGTCTGCTACAACGAGGGACACGGAAACGACAGGCACACCTCGAGCTAAATGTGGAATGATGCAGTCACTTGATGTATCGCCGATCGAACCTGTGACAAACCATCCACCTTGGTCCGGTTCACAGAGCCTATTAGAGGTAGCAGCGAATCTTCCATGTCGTTGACAACGACTCGGTGTGTTAAGGCAGATCTATCAGGCGTTATGCAGTTCCCCGTTTACCGCGCCATTAGAGCTATTAAGGAATCTGAAGTGAGCTACCACTCTTGACTCAACTTGAGACACTCAACAGGCACGTACGACAGTCGCACCTGGAAACTCTTAATTCATACATCGTAATTTCAAGCTGTATCAGTTCCAATCAAGCGAATTATACGACGGTGCGGCGGCTTTGGCAGGAAGCAAAATGTGCCGATCGGGAGAAGCTTCTCCGGTGGGTCCGACCCACTGGGTCGATAATGGCGATAGAATCGCTTCGATACTTTCAATTATTGGACCTCACATGCCTGTAGGTAACGAGACGGTACAACCTGCGCCCAAGAAGGGCAAGAAGCAGACATCATAAACTTTGCACGTGTGATAGATGCATGGATTATCGACGAGTTGAGATGATGCATGGATCTTATGTTCTGAACGGTAGTGTGAATTATGTTGTTAATGTCACGGTGGGGCCTTGCAAGTTGTAAGCAGTTAGGTTGCACTCAGGCCTACTGAGTCGATGCGGGTAGTTTCGGATTAGCGTTGGATGGTGATTCGCTCCGTTTTCAGTAACTTGATTAGCTTCTCATTGTGAATGTCCCAACCCACCTTCAGACTTTTCCCTATAGGAGCCTACCTAGGCCCTTTTGCACTCCGCGCGACAGTAAAAACCCTCGGAAGAGTCGGATGAAACGCGATGGACTGATCAATAAAAACCCAAAGAGTACTCAGAGCTTTCATCTCAAGCTCGATTAGCATAAGGGAATCGAGCAATTCGCTCAGAATCGCGCGGCCACTCTATATCTGAGATACCCGGCTGCGAACGAATCGTCCGTAGGGAGTCTGTAGGAAATAGGTAATGTATTGTCGTTCATGATTTTCAACTATCTGATTCTTGCTCAGATTCTGCATCACTCATCGAGGAGGGCAGAGGTGCATCGTAGAGGGATGTGAGGCCCCCGCCAGGGAGAATGGCGTCTGCTACCGCCATAGAAACTCTAGAGAGGCTCTGTCAAAAAATAGGAGCATCCACCCATGATCATTCTGAAATTATCAGCGGTCGAAAGGTTGATGGTGAGGTCATCAATTCCCTCCGGTAGTGAATAGCACTTCTCCCAGCAGGTGAGCGCATCGAAGAGGATGACTGGACCGGAAGCTGCCCGAGATGTGGCAATGCGTGGCTCGGAACCACTGGTCAGCTGCGAGATTCCCGATCCGCTGCACGTGGAGCCAATCTACAGACTATGCGGAGCTCTGAGTTACTCGTACCAGCTCGAATAGGTCCCTGATAGTCCGTTTGTCTTCGATTTCGGAAATCGTAATCCGGGGCCAATCGTCGATGATTAGTAAAGTGTAGGGAATCAATCTACAGACCATTCGGAACTCAGAGTCACTCGTACCAGTCGAAGCCGGCCGCGGGCCCGCTTCGGGGCTTGAAAGCCCATTACAGCCGAGTGACAACGTCTGGCACACATACTGTCTGCATCTGGAGTCCAGATTCTGGACCACCGGGCACTAAAGTAAGGTGTGAGAGACATGTGGGGGGACAGGACTTTTGTATGAAGATAAGGAGAGGAGAGCGCTACTGGATGAACACTCTCACTCGGAGGCGAATACCACAGAAGCAAACCTCACGGAGTCCTCAGTCGGAGAACTACTAGGCTCTTTAAGGGGTGAAACTAGGTCCTTAGAGCTCTCATACAACCGCGTGACTAGCAGTCAGCGGGATACCCTCGACACCACGACACGGCGTGCTCGAGGAACCAGCAAGAAGATGAGGGGCGCGCCCTCAAGGCGATGGACTGTCGCGTCCAAGAAACCCTGTTGATCCTGTTGTTTACAACTTGCGAGAAAAGCGCATCGTTCAAGTGATTGACGATAAACCACCACCGCTGATCCAGTAGTTGTGAAACCAATATTTCCCATTGGGAGGAGTCACGTAACGCAGCTCACGTTGTAAACTACAACTCGTGAATGAATGGGTTTGTGTGTATGCTGCATAGAGTATGCATTATGTGCTACGCCGGTTTGCTGCGGCGTCATCGTGCAAATGGGGTATCCATGACGAACTTTCAAACATTCGATCATCGTTGAATCATATTAACGGTTTCTTCCGGATTACCAGACCTCTGCAGCTATGTTGATAGTCTCAATACACTTGGAAATAATCTTTGTTGCCAAGCAGGATTCCAATGAAGTTCATTGGAATACTGTCTTCGTTCATTGAATGAACGAAGACTTGCGTAGAGTGCTCAGAGCGCTCGAAGATGTGCTAGCGACCACATCTGTCTAATCTGTCCACGTCTGTCCGCCGATACAACACGACGAGACGAATCTGAGTACACATCCTCTATAACGTGAATCTGCACATCCGGACACGAACATACAACACAACGAGATTGGTAAATAGTGTTAGTGAGAGAGAGCATCCCAATATTGGTACCGGAACCCAAGTGACCACTGTCTCACCGTCCCAAAGGAGAATACATAACAGGCAAGCCCGCGCCTCGTACAGCTTCGAATAGCCAATGTAGCACGCCTGACAAGCACAGAGGGTTCCTCAGTGGGAGTAATATGCATCGAATAAGCACGTAAAGTGGCCGGCGGCGAAGCAGAAAAAGTCGCAGTTAAAGCCGAAAAGTAGCGGGCGACGTAAAAAAGCGGCGCGTGAAAAGTAGAAGAGGGTTCTCTCTTTGACCGTGTCCAATGAATTCACCACGTCATTAAAGTCTGCGCCTCGTCTCTCGCGCGCCATTGAAGTGATGTAGAGACAATAGCGTGCGCCATTGTAATCGATAAACACTAGAGTCTAATCTTCTAACTTGATTCTGATGATGCAAGATAATTTGTAAACCTCTTGTAGTGACTATGAAGCCTACAAATGTCTCCCAAGAGGTGGGGGGACAGGCATCTAATACGGTGTCTATGATGCGTGCCCACTCTACATCATCATTATCATCATCGTCTGATGGTATGTCGTCATCATCATCATTATCATCTTACTCCTCTTCTTGCACCTTCTGTTACGGTTCGGGTGTATCATCTAATAGGGAGGATGAAGCTGATGAATTAGCAGCAGCAACAGGAGGAGTAAATACTAAGATGCTGGATAACGATGCGACTATGCATCATGGTCATCATCATCATCACCATCATAGATGTACTTATCAACAATATGAGCTACGAGAACAGTTACAACCTACTACTACTATGATCGATGGTGATATAGATAATCGTCATGGTATAGTAGTAGAGGATGAGAAAGGTAATAGTAATACTATGATGGTTGTTATTATTATAAGTATATTTAGATACTACTACAGTGAGTATAAATCATAACATCCACTCGACTAGCCATTCATCATCACATTATGCTGATCCTGATGTATGGTCTCCTACTAAAGAGTAATAATAATATTATGATTACGTTAATGTTGTTGTATTAGGTATAAACTACGAGCTGGATGTGTGGTATATGACGAATCTGGTACTAATATATTATTAGTTAATTCTACTAGACATGGATCTGATCGTATGACACATACTATACCATCTGGTAAAGTAGAATCATTTGATCAAGATTTGGAGACAGCAGCAGTAAGAGAGACCATTGAGGAGGCAGGAGTAGAGTGTAGTGTTATATGGGATCTTGGATGGTTTATATCATCTACTAAAACTGGACAACCTACAGTAACCAGATTATTCCTAGCTCAATGTACTAATATATTATCTACATGGAGGGAGGTAATAATAATAAATAATGTATTAATAATAATAATGTTTGGTAGTCGGAATTCCGTGAGAGGATGTGGTGTAGTGTATCAAGAGCACTATCCTTATTAGGAAGGAAGAAGCCTCATTACCGTTTAGCTCTACATATGGCTGCTAATGTAATAACAACAACAAATAGCATCACCATTATGTTATGATAATATTATTTAGTCATATGCACAGCATGGACATCCACCACATTCACCTTTGTCATCATCATCAATATCATCACCACAGAAGGTAGATGGTAATGATGAGAAGCAGAAAAAGATGATGATAGATAGTACCAATGGGGTAGTACTTCTCAATATCGATGATGACCAGGATGGGGCTCATCAATTAACACCACCACCACCACAAGCACAAGCAGTAGTAACATCATCAACAACAATACATGATGATGATTATGCTCGGCAACAGTCATCATCATCATCACCCTCCACTACTACTGCTGCTGCTGGTGGTGATGATGGTGATGCCCTTATAGATAATGAGGAGGAGGATGACGACGATACTGTTAATAATAATAGTCATTATGATGGGATTACTACTACTAGCAGTGTTATTGAGGCTACTACTCCATCATCAACAACATCTCTACCTTACAACACTGATAAGAGTACTAGTACAGTATCGATAGTACAAGAACATACTCATACATCCTCTCATGAACATGATGACAATACACCTAACAGTAATGGTAGTACTAGTAGTAAGAGTCCTGGTAGACAACGACGACGACAACAACAACAGCATGATGGTAATGGAGGGGGCAGCAGCAGCAGTCATGTAGGGTATGATGATGATGATGAATACTACTATTATGATGATGATCTAGACTCGGATTCCTATTCTATTGATGATCTATTATCTGAGGAAGATGATGATGAAGATTATGATGATTATGATGAAGAGTGTCTAAACCATCAACAACAACAGCAACAGCAGCAGCAGATGCTATTACATCATCATCATCATCACCATGATGATGATAAACATCATCCCTCCTCCTCCTCTTCATCTAATGATAATAATCAAGTAGAACTCAGGGATATATTCCCTAGTGATGAGGGCGTGGTCGGGACAAGAAGGCGACAACAACAACAACAACAACAACAACAACAACAACAACAACAACAACAACAACCAGGAACAACAGCAGCAGCAGCAGCAGCTGGTATGATGATGATGAAGTGTAATTGTAGACGATGTAGATATTATAGGAGGAGGTTATTAGCTAAAGGAGTTATATGTCATCATACTAAGACAACTACTACTGTAGCTGAACAATTAGGTGGACATCTTATGCCTGTACAATGGAGTTCTGCATCATCATTAGAGAACTTATTATCCACCTCTTCATCATCACAACAACACCGACATCATCATCAAGAGGAGAAGGAGGAGAAAGAGGAGTCTACTACTACTACAACTCAACAACAACATGATGGAGGGATCAACAAACATCATCATCATCATCAGCCTATAGAGGAAGAGGGCATTAGGAGGATGAGGGCTCATACTACTACTGTAGCCTCCATCATGCATCAACATGATGATCATCATCATGTTAATGCTACTACTAGTACTAGTAGAAGAGCAGTAGTATCAACACCAATGATAGACCACCATCATGAACAGACCTCTATGATAGTATCATCATGTTTACCTAGTAATGAGGATAACAGTATTACTACAACTACTACTGCAAGCAAGAGGTCATCATCATCATCAACTCCCACTCCTATTAGCAGTAGTAATACTACTACCCAACAAAGAGTGGTAGGGTCGGCGGCGGCGACGGCGGCGGTAAGTTCTTCTTCTTCTACTCCTCAACCTTCAATACCAGTATCCTCTACTTTTGCTCCATCATCATCATCTTCATCACCATCATCACCTATAACCAAGTTATTGACTTTGGTTCCTATTGGTCCCATAAAGACAGGGCAAGAAGAAGAAGAGGAGGAGGAGGTAGTAGTAACAGCAGCAGCAGAGGCTAAGGATGAGGAGGATAAGAAGTCCATATCACGGGGTATTACAACTACATCATTGCAACAACCACTCAATGATTATGATAAAGAACATATCACCGACGACGACGACAAGAAGAAGGATGATGAGGATCAGAAGGAGGTTATGGTGGAGATAACACCTCTATCATTGAGTCCTGCAGCAACTAAGGCTGTATTAGAGGCTGATAGGGAGGCTAGTGAAGAGGAAGAGGAGGAGTAAGGAGGAGGAGAAGGAGGAGGAGATGGTGGTCATACCATGTATCATCCAGAGGAGTATGATAAAAAGGAAGAGCACCACCACCACCATGATGAGGTAGTAGTAGTAGTAGAGGACGGTTGTCATAGAGTAGTTAGTATCATAACTATAGGTTAGTATCATAACTCCACCACCATCTAATGGGACTCCTACTACTACTACTACTACTATATTACATACTCATGGTGTTCATCATCATAATCAGCATACCAACAACACTACTACTATCGATGGTGGTAGGATGACTCAATCTCCGAGTGCAGTAGTACCTGATGTTGAAGATGGTGGTTGTGGTACTACTACTACTACTACAGCAGGAGCAGCGGCAGCATCTCTAGTTGGACAAGAGCTTAGTGTATATGGGTTACAGGTTGGGGGGCATACTAGGTTTGTAAAACCACAGAATTCACCATTTTTGGTAATAATACTACACTAAGATGATGATGATTATACTCTTGTTGATCATCTTGATGTTGTTGTTGTTAGGTATTAAAACCATGTAATCCTGATGAATATCACTTCTATTCTAGTATAATACCGGAGAGATGCCCTAAGCTTCTTAGATTTACACCTAGATGTTATGGTGAGGTAATAGTAATAATAACAACAACAAGAAGAAGAAGAACAATCATCGATAGTATAGGACTATATCCTCTATCTTTTATCAGGTTAACCTGAGTGGTAGCAGTAATAATAATAATAATAATATAAACCCTACTACCACCAAAGGGTTAGTTGCTGATGATAACGAGCATGATGATAATGATGATGATGAAGATGAGCATAATACAATATCAGAAGAAGAAGAAGGGGATGAGGATGAGGATCATCTGAGTATAAAGTCTCCATTATCTCCTAGTGAAGAAGTGGATGATGAAGAGAATAGCAGTATAGCAGTATATGCTAGTACTGCTACTACTGGTAATCATCAACATCAACATCATAGGAGGTCATCATGTCCAAGTATGTATGATAATATGATGACAACTGTTGTTGGTAGTGATAGTAGTATGAGTAGTAGACCAATACCACCATTGGGTGCTACACAACCTAGGGCATCTATAGAGGCACAGAAAGGGGCAGAGGAGGAGAGGATGATTAGAAGATATAAAGAGGAAGATGATGATGATGATGATGGTGATGATGGTCAACATAGACTACATGAACAGATAGATAGAGAGAGGGAGAAGGCTAGACGGAAAAGGGAAGAGGCAGCAGCAGCTGCAGCAGTAGTTGCTATACATCATAGGAATACAGCAGTTGGGGCAGAGGGGACGACGACGACGACGAGGTCATCATCATGTCATCATAGGACATATTCTAATAATAAGAGGAGTATAGAGGATGGGGAGGAGGATGTGGATAATGATGATGTTGTTGAGGGAGATGATACTCAGACTAATACTACTTCTAGGAAGGGTGGTATACCTGATATAGATGATGATGATGACGGTGATGCACTAGGGGAGAAGGATGATAAAGGAGGAGGGAAAGGGGAAAGTAGTAGTGGTAGAAGGAGAAGGAGGAGGAGGATAGGGGCAACAACCACAACAACAACAACATCACCTATACGGTATGGTATAGTAAAAGTCAAGGAAGAGCGGAAATATGTAATATTATCATAATCATAATCATCATAGTCATGGTAAACAAGAAGAAGAATGATCTCTGCGTTACTTGCTGCTGTTGATGATGATGATGATATTGTTATTGTTCTTGTTGTTATTAGGTTGTATTGGAGGATCTAGCCCATGGTATGGCTACACCATGTATACTTGATTTAAAGATGGGTGCTAAACAACGTGCAGTAAGATATGGTTTATCTAAAGCTAAGATGGAGAGTAAATTGAAGAAATCACGACAAACAACAAGCCATAGTTTAGCATTTCGTATGTGTGGTGTACAATTATATGATAGGATTAGTGGTGAAAGAGTATATTATAATAAATATTATGGAAGGAAACAATCTGAACAAGGAGTATTCCAGACTATTAATACCTTCTTTGATTCAATTCAAGAACCATATAAGAAGATACTTATTAAAAGGCTTGTTGATAAGTTAGAGAGGCTTCTTACTGTAAGCATCATCATCATCATTACTACTACTAATTATAATAATAATAATCAGATACTACAATCTCTTAATGGTTTTCGGTTTTGGTCTGGTAGTCTACTATTTGTATTTGATGCACAGAGTATTGAACCAAGAAATGGGACTGTTAAAATGATTGATTTTGCTCATACCTCCATAGTAATATATACAACTATTACTACTAATACGTTATGAACATCTTATCATTATTATTTTAGATATCTCCTAATAATGGCCCTGATGAGGAGTATTCCACTGGTATTAGGAATCTTATAGTATATCTTAGTAATATACCATTACAAAGTGGTGTATCAGAGGATACTATTGATGAGATATATGCTACTATGGTAGAACCTAATCTAACACAACCGCCAGATCCATCAATACAGGTAATAGACATTAACTACTAATCATTATTATTACTTTACCTATTGCCGCTACTACTCAGGATGCTGAATTAGATGAAGTAGTAGCCGAGTTATCGAACTCTTCTAATAGGACATCATCGTCTAGTGGGGGCATTAACCCTTCTAATCATTCTCGATCATCATCACCAACAGGGGCAGCAGCAGCAGCAGGAGTAGTAGTAGTAGAAGACAACAATGTACAGCAATAACAGCAGTAGTGGTGTGTCTACTTACTATACTGTGTTTTACTATTGTATTATTCATCCTCTTTCCTATGTTACTAATCCTCATAATCTGTCGATAATAAGAGTAATATTATACAATTATTAGATATTGAGTTGTTGGATAGTTGGGGATGTATAGTAGATATCAATACACTTAATGATTGATGATACCATACCTTGCCATTATAAGGGTCCATCTACCACCCTAGGACAGGTAGGGAAGATGACGACGACGACATTCAAGGTGGTCCCTGAGGTGGAGGCTGACACTTATGATAATACCAAACACTCTTTTTGGAAGGATTACGTCGCCCAAAGTAGTAGTAGTAGTAGTAGGAGTAGTAGTAGGAGTAGTAGTAGGAGTAGTAGTAGTAGTGGTAGTAGGAGTAGTAGTAGTAGTAGTAGTAGTTCGACCTCGGTTTCGACCTCGGGCAGTCGAAGCCCGGGTTGACCGTTTGATTGCAGTAGACAAGTTGTCGGTGAGGGTAGAAGCTGCTTCATCCAGCTCTGAAACCGTGCTCGTCATGCCGAGAACGATTGAGCACTCATTCAGCGTTCTTGAGAAGGTCTCCCAATTTGTGCGTGAGGGGTATCTCTTCGGAACAGCGAGAGGTTTATTAACGAGTGCCTGGTCACCACAGGATAACGAGACGATGAGGCATGCATGATCGCCACACGTGGGAGCATAGGCGAAACAGTAGTTTGATGTCTTCTTGCATGCAAGTAGATCAATGTAGGACTCTCCAAGCGTACTGCTGTAGGTTGGGGCAGGTGGGATGAAAGCATCGAAGCCTTCTTGTAAAATAAGGTCTTCGAAAGGCCGTCCACGGATGATACGGTTATCACTTCTCGGAAGGGAGCGACGTGACCATAAGTGCGAATGCGAGTTTGTATCCCCGCCAAGCACAGTAATACAATTATTACGACCCAATTCTAGAAGATGTCTGCAAACTATGTTGCTATCTTGTAGTTTGTCGGCGTAAAATGAGATGAGACGTAGCGGTACGACGGTGCCATCCTTATCGGAAGTACCAATGTCAACCGAGACCACATCAGGTTTCTCATCGGTTGAGATGATGCATAGCGAACGCGGGACCAGAATCACTGCCCGTGACCATTCTCTGGCTTCTGGGAGAGCGTCAGGATTGCAGTTGGCCTTGATCGCGATCAGATCTCGAAAGAGGGCTCCGATTTTGTTGGGCGGCTCTTGAATTAGATATACTGTGGTACTGCCCTCGATAGTTGGATCGTTGGCGAAGAAATCTTCCAGAACTCCCCAGCTACGGTTTGAGTTGAAGGATGCAACCCTTAGACAGACAGGATAACCGGCTTCACTGTTAGAGAGCATTAATCATCTCTCCCGTCTTCCAATGCGACGGGAGAGAGAGCATCGACGGCCATATCAACGGCTGTGCCATCAGATCGATCATCTGCGGTAGTGGGAACCTCCCTACCCGTGGTCTCCCTCCTCGGAGGATTACCATTCCTGACGTAGATAGGCTTGCAACAGTGTTCAATAGCACTGTGTGGTCCATCACAGTTGGAGCAGGATCTCAACCCTCGGAAGTATTTAGGTTGAGGGCAGAGCTCTAGGCTATGCTGGCCGCCGCAGCGGACACAGCGGGCCGGTGCGGAGCAAGGGTTGTTGCCTCCTATTGGGTGGTAGCGCCCACAGCGATAGCACAGAGAACCTTTGCTGCTCATCTTGGCTACCTTACAGGATGCTAAACCCAGGAATATTCGACCGTCCGTAGCGAATCTGCTCAGTATTGAGCTGGGCCCGCGAATTATTGCGAAGCTCTGAGTCTGCTTGATGACAGTGGTCCTAGAGGTGTCCATACCGTTCTTCTTTCCCAAGTAATTCAATAGGAACTGGCCTGAGTACGATCCCAGCTCGGAAGCACCTCGGGGGAAGAGAATCTTGATGGTGGATGTGTTTCTCAGGATCTCCTTGGTGATGAGGTTCGGATCCCTGCCGATCGAACCAACAGCAGCATTCCATTGACGTCTGTCTGGGAGGAGCAGGCCTAAGCCTCCTCCCGACAGCGAAGGTGCGAGAAACACGCACGCCATTTAGAAGGCCGGATACGGCTGAACGAACGGTCTCCAACTCATCCGCGGAAAGGCTATCCCAGCGACCGTTCGGCTCGATCTTTCCTCTGAGAGTTACACACAGGATGGTTGACTCATTTTCCGATGGGTCAGGAGGCCCAGCTTGGCCGTGACCGCGTGCCGGCTGTCGCGGTGGAGGAGCTCGATGGATGGGAGGGCGTTGTCTACGTTGTCGGTTCTTCCTGCGAGGTCCCGCTATTCTCCACCCAGAGCTGTCCGTATCACTGTCTGCTGTCTCCTGTGGGACGCTGCCAATGTTTTGTGCTATAGTGCGAGTAGCCGTAGCAGGGGTACCGTTCCTGATTCTCCCGGCGGCAGCAGAGATTGCTGGGAGGCTAGGCAACGCATCCTCGGGAACGTCATTCCTCGATGACGAAGAGTTGATTGAGTGGACCGAGACGCAGTCCGATTCCTGGATGCTGCGAAAAATCTCGGAGTCCACTGAGGCTCTACGCTTCTTACTACCAGCCGACGCTACTGCTCTACGTGATTCATCTATCTCACTTCTAAGTTCTACCATCTTTTTGCGTTCTTTGGCTAATTCTAGGTAAATATGCAATAGTTCAGCATCCTTCTTACTCTGGACTTCTAAATTTTCCAACCAGCGACCGCGGAGCTGGGAGATTACCTCCTTGAGCTTACCTGCTGCCGCCTTACTCCATACCGATTTCTTCGATGCAAAAGTGTCGGTTGCTGCTACTATCCAATCCAATAATGCAGAGGTGCTACCATCTAAGTCTACTTGTATGTCGATCGGGCTACGCCTTATTCTCCTTTCCTCCACGCTGCCATCTCCATCTCCGTCATCGTTCGGTTGAGAGGCGCGAGGTGGTGAGAGCGGTGGCATTACGCGAAATGTGGTTGAGTTGTAAGTGCGCAAAGGGGGCGCGAACAAAACTAGTAGTAGTAGTAGTAGTAGTAGTAGTAGGAGTAGGAGTAGGAGTAGGAGTAGGAGTAGTAGTAGTAGTAGTAGTAGTAGTAGTAGGAGTAGGAGTAGGAGTAGGAGTAGGAGTAGTAGTAGTAGTAGTAGTAGTAGTAGCAGCAGTAGTAGTAGTAGTAGTAGTAGTAGTAGTAGTAGTAGTAGTAGTAGTAGTAGTAGTAGTAGTAGTAGTAGTAGGAGTAGTAGTAGTAGTAATAGTAATAGTAATAGTAGTAGTTGTAGTAGTAATAGTAATAGTAGTAGTTGTAGTAGTTGTAGTTGTAGTTGTAGTTGTTGTTAGGGAAGCCTTGTGTAATACGTGGTGGTAGTAAGGATTACATCAAACGTATGAGTAATGATAATATGATTAGAGTAGCTGGGGAGGATATGGTAACAGCTGAGGAGAGGAAAGGTAGGTGATAGTAGAAGGAGAATGATTATGATTATGATGATGCTGACTTATTAGATATGTCGGAGGGTTTTGGTAAGACCGATTGGAATGATGATAAAAGGCTTCATATCCCTTTTAAGGATTTCATTAATAAAGTAACTACTGGTAAAGTGTATATGACTACACAAGATATACCTTTATCTGAGTATGATGGTGGTCCTATAAAGAGGATGGGTACACATATACAGAAACTTATAGATAACAAACTGGTAATAATAATAATAGGATCTGTGATGATGACAATGATGATGATACATGATAATGTGTTCGATAATGGTATTGTTGGTAGTAGTAGATACCTAAGAATCCAAGTATATTAGAGGATACTGGTCTAACACAATATCAGGTTAATATGTGGTTTGGTGATGCTAAAGATGGTAGTACAACAGGTTTACATCATGATTATCATGATAATGTATATATGTTATTAAGAGGTAGGAAGATATTCCGTATATACAGTCCAGATGCTATTACACAAGGATTAAATACGAATGGTGTAATAGATGGTATTAATAATAATAATACAGTAGTGGTATTGTCTAATGGTCTAATATGCTATGATTGCCATAAGCTGATGATGACGACGACGACGAGCTCTTGTAGTAAAGGGGGATATAGTGTTAGGGAGGATGGAGCCAGAGTGGAGGATGTGGTAAGTTGTTGATGGTGTGGGAATACTAAGGATGAGGAATAGTGATAGTAGGTACGGCATAGACTATTACGTGGAAGTAGGAATAATGGGGAGGAGGAGGAGGAGGAGGAGGAGGCACAGCTTGATAAGCTACTCGATATTGCTATTGCTGAGGGGAATTTCGATGATGATGATGATGAGGAGGAAGAGGAGGAAGAGGGACCAGAGGGTAAGAAAAGGAAGGTGGTGATGGAGGAGGAGCTCAAGACTCAAGGACCATCCCACTTCTGTAATACTACTATCATCACTATCGATCATACTGGTGATATTATGTATTGCATACAAGGTATCCATAATACTATTAGTAATAGTAGTAGTGAAATCCATGGAGAATACGTTGAAGTAGAGTTACTACCGGGAGATATGCTATACCTACCAGCTAGTTACTTTCATGAGGTTATATCATACTCCTCTACACAAGGAGAAGAAAAAGAAGGTGGTGGACATCTTGCAGTTAACTATTGGTAGTAGTCATAGTCATCGTCATCCTCCTCCTCCCCTTCTATGGTGATAGTAATACTGTATAGGTATCATCCCCCAGTTTATGGAGGTACTTATGATAAACCATATGTTGATAATTACTGGTCTGATAGATGGGATACTATCCTATTAGCTTAAACCACCTTATCATTAGTTACTTTCGTTGGTCCTCTCACCTCCGTCATGACTTGTGTTGATTATAGCTCAAACTGGTAGAGCTGATAGTAGTAGTACTAGGAATTGTTGAACCATGAACGACGCCATAGGTGTTCAACTGCTGCTGTAATACATCCATTCCTCACAATATTCCATTCATGGGAATAGTACTACTCATATCATCTTCTCCTCTTCTACCACCATGTTATTAATGTAAATCAATACTATAATTATTATCGTGATAATGGGAAACATAAGTAGATACGATAAGATTAAAGTATATGTCCACCAATAAGGGAGTACTCCCCCCCCTCTACCCTCCCGATGAGATTAAAGTATATGTCCACCAATAAGGGAGTACTCCCCCCCCTCTACCCTCCCGATGAGATTAAAGTATATGTCCACCAATAAGGGAGTACTCCCCCCCCTCTACCCTCCCGACTGCTCCAACCACTACTATCCTCTACAATAATTAATAGCACAAACCCTATAATAATAATGCTGGAAAATGACGTAGTTAGCCACGATATATCATATTCTTCTGGCATGTTGTTGTTGTTGTTGTTGTTGTTGTTGTTGTTGTTGATACTAATCAAAAAAATACCAATCGATGATACATGGGAGTACGACAACCTCCACGGCTAGCAACGGTGAGGGGATGTCCAAAATGGGAGGTACATGGTTACCATCCTACATCATCATCATCATCAGCAGAAGAGGAGGAAGTAGAGTAGATCATAGCAGGTAGGACCTACCTGGTAGGTACACCCAATTAATAATAATAATAAAGCTAGGCTAATGTAACAAGGGTAAAATATAATGTGATGATGATATCAGAGGCACAACTTCGATGATGATTGTGGTGATTCTCAACATGCATTCATCATACCGATAACATCTACACCATCTGAGGAGAAGAAATCTTTCTCATTGCAAGTGGGAGAATCAAAATGTACCATCGAGAGGATTCGATCTTGAGACCTTGGGAATGAAAACCACGAACTCTACCTCTACACCAAATTGGATGAGTAATTGTACACTCCCTACATCATCCATCGAGTTATTGAGCATCGATGAGTACGCATGATCAGTGGAAGTTACCGTGTATGGTTGTTCAAGGCTTGAACTTCAAGCTTAGAGATCTTCATCGTTACTTGTACTCATGATGAAAGACTACAATAAAGACTACATAATGACGATGCTTGCTAAGGGGTAGGTACTACTACTACTACTAGGATGTCATAACCTCAATACGATACTACTCCACCTCCTCCTCCTTTTTCCTCTTGTTGTTGTTGTACTACAGATTAGCTGTTAAACTGGTCCTTTCCTTTAACCGTGGTACTACTTCTACTACTAGAGGTACTATTCACTCTGATATTACTACCAGTGATGCGGTAGATCCAGATATTGATGAGATCAACGATAAGGAGGATGACGAGAATCAATATAATGATGATGATGATGATAACAACTACAAGACAGTAGTAGTATGTACGTACTTCTTCTTCTTAGTATTACTACATCCCATCACTGATATGAATAGGTTGTACAGGATGTATCACACCTAAGCATGATGCTCTGGTATTTGAACCTCTACAACATACAACTACTCCATACAACTATAACAACTCATCTCCTCGACGCCAGCAACAGCAGCAGCCACTTACTACTACATCATCATCATCATCATCGTCATCGTCGAGTGGCCTCATCATCATACCTCTCAGTGTTATTGATAATGTATTATATTATCATGATGATGATGACGGTGTAGCAGGAGTAGTACTGGTAATAATGATAGTACTACTATGTTCAGCTGTAGAACATCCGAGGTGATCAGGAAGTATCAGGGTATGATGATAAGACAATACGTATAGAGTGTGAGAGGGAGGAGGATGCTTATCTATGGTAAGGAGCAGCATTTGGTGATAATAATAAGGCTGTTGTTAATTATCAGGTTTAAAGCTCTTACGATTATCTTATCTACAAATGATGATGATGCTGTTTCTGAGGCTGACACTGGGGAGGTAGTAGTAGTAATGTTGGTGTTGTTGTTCATACCTTTGATTAGATAGTAACCGAGGATAGTTATGAGGTGGTGGAAACTAGTGATGGTCATCTTATCATAACCAATGATGATAATGATAATGATGAATCGTCAGCATTACTACTAATTGAAGATGATGATGACCACAAAGGATCATCTGAGAGTAATGATGGAGGATAGCACGTGATGTGGTATCTATGACCATACAGATGATGACAATCATACTTCTAGTGTGGCATCATCTAATAATAATGAGGGAGAGAAAGATGATGATACGTCGTCGTCGTCGTCCATGATGCTACTGCACGATCATACCGCCGAGGAAGTGATGACCAAAATCATTGATACATAATACTAGTCTATTACTATGTTGTTGAGATGATGATGATCAGATATCAATACTCAAATACCTAATTTTGCATAATGATACCATCATACACCGTATGCAGGAGGAGGATGCTAGGTAATGGTCATGATGATGATTGGTAGCATTAATAAGGTTGGATTATCATCATTAACATTAGATCACGATGTCTATTCTTGATGGAACAGAACAATATACTCACAACTCTACTCAAGGGTAATGATAAATGGAGTGGGAGAGGGATATAATCATTATTACAGGTAGAGAGGATACCCTCCAAGATGTCTACAACCTGTGTAATGTATTATTACTCACACAACAACAACAACAACAAGAGGCTGAGGATGAGGAGGAAGAAGGATTACCACCATTAATCCCATTCTATCAGGTCTTAGCCTTCTTCTTCTCATTACTATATATGTAATATGGTCCTTAGGGATATGCCACAAGGATACGATGATACACTAGTAACACAATTAATATCAACAACAACAACAACAACAACAACAACAACAACAACAACAATGATTATCATCATCATGCTAAACATGGTATGTAGACAACGCTAGGTTGTTGTTGTGTTGCTAGTTATCGCTAATACATATCTCTGTCATCAGTTATACTCTTAATCATGGCTCCTAATAGGCTTGCTACTGTAGATGATGATACTACTGGTGAATCCCTTTCCCATATTGTATCGATCGGTCCTAATAACAATTATGATAAGTTTGTAGAGGATACTGCTGCATCCCTTAAGGATGGCAGGATACCTAAATTACCTTCTGCACCATTGGATCAAATATTCAAGAGGAATATGATACCCAAAGAAGGGCTTATATTGGACTTTGGTATTGGTACAGGTAAACAGGGGCTCTTACTACTACTACCACTAGTAGGTATGATCATTATCATTCAGGATGGTTTACACGCTACATTGCTGGTCAACTTGATGGTAGGAAGATGTACGGTTTTGATAGTTTTAAGGGTTTACCTAGTGATTGGGTTCCAAAACAAGTAATAACTTTACGTGTAGTATTAGTAGCATTATATCTTCTTCTTCTTCTTGGTCAGGGGGCAATGCCCGAGACTGGTAAAGGATCATTTGCTCAGACTAAGCTACCAGATATGCCCGATAATGTGGAATTGGTTGTGGGTATGTTTGATGATACTTTACCAGGCTTTGCTAAGGAACATGCTAATGATACCATAGCCTTACTTCATAATGATTCTGTAATGTATGAGTCAACTGTTAGTATTTTCAAAAATCTTGGTCATATGATTGTCCCTGGTACCATCATAGTAATGGATGAATTATTCGATTATCCACAATATGCTAAACATGAGTTAAAAGCATTCTTCGAATACCTAGTAGATAGGTCTAAGATTATCGGTGAGGATTGTGTATTCGAATGGATTGGTACTGGTGATGTATTGTTGGAGGATTGTTTTACTGATCCTAAATATGACTATGGTATTTACATCGATCCTACTGGTGCCAAGTTAGTATCACAGAATATTAATTTATTGATGAGATGTGGTATCAAGATGATTAAGGTGTAATCCTTGTTATCATCATTATGAGTTTTTATGATCGATCATTTTATCTTGTGGTGTTAATAGTGGGTAAGTGCCAATCCAAACCACATAATGACTACAGGTCCCCAACATTCATCTAGGTTGTGCATTACTTACTATCCTACACAACTCATAATATGAATAAAGTACAACAGTAGTGGAGAGTAGATAGTTAAGTTTGAGAGATAATAATGATTACCATGGTTCCCCTCTATTATGATGTGTATGTGATCGTAGATCCAGATAACTTACAGGACGATCATGATCACAATGACTATGGCATTTATTGGTGAATTCATCACTATCAGTACTAGAGGTAAGACCACCATGTGCAACATAATCCAAACATACATTCCATATTAGACAACTCATGTTAACGAATAATACCTAATAATAATATCAACAACACTACTAATAACGATTCTATCATCACAATAACTACCTGATAACGTCGAGGAACTATTGTAAAGTTAACTAATTGTAGTGGTATCCACATACTCCAACATAAAGTAATTGTTGAATAATACTCTCTCTTCATAGTATCTATTGTTTCACTCATACTATGTTGTTGTAGAAGCCCTAATGTTGAATAAAAGGCAGGAGTATATAATAATGGTACGTGTATAAAGTTATCGATTAGTGATATGATCATACCTTTACCAAATGTACTCATACTCCTAGGTATAGGAAGCTTATAATGATATAGATGATATATATAGGTATCCACTCCACCTTGATAATAACCACAGAATATTGTCATAGCTAGTGAACGTTTCCAACTTACACCACCATCACCCTCTGTTTCAATGAATCTTTGACAGATCTGATCTCCAATAAAACCAAGTGTTGCTCCTGATATGGTATTAGTAATATAGGGTCTAGTAGTGGCATAATGACTATAGGTAGATAATGACGATAGTAGTAGTTTATAACCACGACAAGTGCATAAACGACGACGTAGTGTTGATGATGATAGACGACTATTCATACTTGACGACTACGACCACAACTATATATGGGAGTTATGTTAGTAATGACAACAACTCAACGAGAGATGGTGACAGAAGTAATATTATGAATAGTAGTATTATTATCATTACTCGGATTTAGATCGCCCTCCACCCTCAGGGTTAATATTGATACAGTTATTAATACTACTATCATATCCTCCTCCTCCTCCTCCTCGTGCCTCTCTTGGTCTTGATGTTGATTCTAATTGTTGCCAGAATGATGCCAACTCTTCCTTCCTCCTCTTCTTCCTCCTAGTTGTTATTAACTCTTCATCATCCCTTTTCATATCATCCCTCTCTTCTTGAATGAATATATACCCTAGATATCTACAGGAGAGATAATAATGATGATGATGATGATACCACATGATAACAACAACAACAACAACCGACATTACTACAAGGACATGCTCCCTAACATTATGATCCCTATAGCTACTGGTATTTCGATAGCAACACTTCGAGGTAATGGGAATAGACGATTTAATAGTGATGGATAGGTTCTTGATGATGATGATACTATACCTAGAGTGGATGGTCGTGGTGGGTTCTATACCGGTATGAATAGTATTACCTATATCCTCTATACCACCACTTTTACCATCATAAAAGGGTGTAATGACGACCCATAAGATATAATATATAAATACAGCAAGACCAAGTAGAAGACCAATGATGCCTTCATTCCTAGCTAAGGAGGGTGGATGATGATGATTATTATATTCTTGAGACCACCACCACCATGATGATGATGATAATAACAACATACTAATAGGAATACTATCATCAACGTATTTATAATAGTAGTAGTAATGTTGAAGAACCCGAACTAAAGAAGGCGATGGTGGTAAGGGAGAGTTGGTAGTTACACTAGTACCAATTATTATCAATAATATACAACATCTCCAACATGCTATTAAAGAGTATGATGACAGTGATGGTATGATGGTAACCTTATACTACTACTACTACTACTACTACTACTACTACTACTACTACTACTACTACTACTACTACTACAAGAAGGAGTAGACCTATTATTATTAGCCTATACCATTATCATGTGAAGAGGGTGAGAATATAGGAGTCACACTATTGTTATATACACTCACTATAACTAGTAGTAGTAGTTTATACTACCACTACTACCCCGCTTCATGGTCTCGGTGCATCACGCTAGTATCAGCTGATGATGATGATGATACAGGCTCATGAGGAGTAGTATATGACGCTATGCTAGTAGTAGTAGTAGGAGGAGGAGGAGCCGACTGTGGTCGCCACATGTTATAAGAGTAGGTAGCAGCAGCAATAGCAGCCTCCTAATAAGGATGTCCTCCTTCTTCTTCTTCTCCTCCTTGTTGTTGGTGTTGTATGGCGGTGTGGTGGTGAGCCAGCTGATATGTGTTATAGGATAGGATACCCAGGATAAGGTAGAGTATATGATAATGATGATGTTGTTGTTGATATGCTCCGTGATATAAACTCGACAGCATGAGCCGACAACTGGGGCTAGAGAGTAGGAGGATGATGATGATGATGATGAGGACTCTTCTCCACTTCATCATCATCATCATCCGTTTGTTGTTGTTGTTGTTGTAGGTTAGGGATATTATAATCATTCCTTGACGAGATGGTAATGATAGTGATGATGCATCCACCTTCCTCTGCTCATTACCCTCTACAGCATCATTATCATCACTAGTAGAAGGCTGTGGTGGTAGTAGTAGTATTGACCTAGTAGTAGTAGTGTATATGACCAATACTAAAACTTACTACTACTACTGCTACTTCTTGCTTCTCTTCTTATCATCTTTATGCTGCCTTCTATTACTAGTAGCATAATGCTCTTGACGAATATCATCATTACTTGTGGCGATGTAATCATGATTATCCCTGAGCATCCCCGATACCATTCCTCCCCGAACTCTTCCTCCTCCTCCCTTCCTATTAGTTCTACTATCCCCTAGTCTCTGTTCATCATCTCCCTAAAGTGTCCACCTAATAACGTCATCCTGCCAACGCGATGATCAACCTTGTCCATATGAGTAGAACGTTTCACTGGAATAACGTAGAACTCTAGAATCGAACCGCCGCCGCCGCCGCCGAGCTCCCATTCAACTGAAGTAAATACCTAACAACATTAGTCCAAGTCATGGCGGCATTGATAAATCCCATACCCCATCTTCTTATCACCGACAATAATATCGTCATACTCATCATCGAGCGATATTAATGTATACCTCTACATCATCTAACTACAGAACGTCATGGATATGATGAGGACTAGTTCTATGCGGAAAGGAGGATATTGCTGCTCAACACTCCTTAAGAGTCCGTGTCGCTCTTGGAAATAAACCATTCGAGCGGTTTATCATTATACATGCTCGAATATCAAGTTCCTACTAACCAGTGTTAATAATAATGGCACTATACCTCACAAACAGCAGCGTGATGATAACTGTTGTACCATGGATCGTAGTAATTATCATCACTCTGCCTACTGTAGTGAATAGTGCTAAAGGTCACATACTCAACGTGGACCTGAGCACTTTACATGAGATCTCATATAATGGATATATAGACCTCAATGCCCATAAGGATAACTATTGTTCAACTGCCAACAATGTGTCGGTTAAGATAAGCACTCCACACAAGTTAAAGTTGAAGGCAACCCTCCCAGGGGGACCCTTAGATGAGAATAAGTCCTTCATCTGGTCATTCGAGAGCGATATGACTATACAAAGCGAAGTTAACGGTACTATTCATATGTCATTACAACAACCAATTAGAGAAGATATTAAGGAAGTAGTAAAAGAGATAATGAGGCCCATCGATGATTTGATGTTTACGGATATGATATTGTCTATAACTCCACTTGATGATTGTAAGAAGCATCTATTGTCAATAACCTTCAAGCTGAGCAATACAGAGCCATTTATTTGTATATTCGAGGGCATTAGTGATACCACAACTTAACGACAACGATAATGATGGAGATGTACTCACCAGAGTAATTGTTTGGGATTCACATGCATGTTGTTGATGTTGTTCTTGTTGTTGTTGTTGCATTGGCTATCGCGTTAATGTTGACATGCTTTCGAGGCACATGAAGGGTGAATGATGAAGAGATGGTGACATGGTCATGCTCGATCGTCGTGCCTCATCTATCATTAGTCTCATAGCTACTACTACTATGATGATGATAAGGAATTCAAGAAGCATGCTTACTGAGATGCTGCCTATAAGAGTCTTACACTGGATTCCCCCTCTGTAGGGTCTGGGTATGTGTTGTATAATAATAAAACAACATACTGTAGGGTCTGGGTATGTGTTGTATAATAATAAAACAACATACTGTAGGGTGTGGGTATGTGTTGTATAATAATAAAACAACATACTGTAGGGTGTGGGTATGTGTTGTATAATAATAATAAAACAACATACTGTAGGGTGTGGGTATGTGTTGTATAATAATAATAAAACAACATACTGTAGGGTGTGGGTATGTGTTGTATAATAATAAAACAACATACTGTAGGGTGTGGGTATGTGTTGTATAATAATAAAACAACATACTGTAGGGTGTGGGTATGTGTTGTATAATAATAAAACAACATACTGTAGGGTGTGGGTATGTGTTGTATAATAATAAAACAACATACTGTAGGGTGTGGGTATGTGTTGTATAATAATAAAACAACATACTGTAGGGTGTGGGTATGTGTTGTATAATAATAAGAGGGTATACTTCTAAAATGGTCTATGATGACTATGATGCCATCGGATGAAGATATCCTCATGTCCCGAAGAGTTTAGGACTTACCTCTAACATACCATACTCTATCATAAACAACAGCAGGTAGTCACCAATAGTACTAGTTAGGGTACTAATGTTACTGTACAACAATAATCATCATCATCATGCTCCTCCTCGTCCTCTTCCTCGTCCTCGTCGAATCTCTGGGGCTGCGTCTCGCCTAGGCTCCTGATACCAGCCATCTAATAATTGCAGGATTTCTTCTTCTTTTCTTTTACTACACATGGGTCGGAATAATAATACTGATGAGGAGGAGGAGGAGGAGCACTTCAGCTTCGATCAGTTCCCTCCCTTTTATACGTACTATAGTAGGGGGGATGCAGTCGGTCATACTATAGAGTAGTTACACCATTTTAGGTTACAACCAAACCTTACTGTTAGGAAAAGGCAGATAGCACTTTGGAGGGATAGGGTTTTAAAGATATGTAATATAGGGTAGTAGGGGTAGTGGGGATATATGTTCATGATGGTAGGTCGAGAACAACGATTGAGTTACCTCAATATACACTCTGGACAACAAGAAGAAGAACAGCAGGAAAGAAGAGTATTTGGTAATGAACATATACATAGTAAGCTATTGTTATTGTTGGTGTTATTAGCAAGATTATAATAATACTCTTGATCAGGACAGTTGGATATAGAGGGTATTAGAGCAGTATTGAATGATCTAGTCTTAACTGATAATGGACGATGGTGTGATGCATCTCAGACACGATTTATGGTAATAGTAGTAAGAGTAGCCGGCGCCGGCGGCTAGTCTAGTAGAGACATGATGCCTATTATTAGGTCCTATGGCATACCCCTGCTGAATGGTCTCAGATAATTTACGATTGGGTAGTAATAGTAGTATATGGTATAGATCTAGGAGTGTGCATGTCCTGTCCAATCAGGTTATTAATACGGGTAAGTTAGGCTCGGTTGAGACTGTATTCTCAATACATAGTGGAGAGGATGCCATAGGAACAGGTAGGCTGCTCCTACTCCTATTCTCATTACCAGGATTATAGGATATCCTTAGAATTCTATGGTCTACCCCCTGAGGTAATCATGCTGGCTTTAGACAAACTCGATCTAAGTGGTAAATGTGAGATATTTAAAGGGAACACTACTGATGCTACTGGTGTTAAGTTCTTTACTAGTAATGCTTTGTAGATGATTTCTTATACCTCATTACCATCTTTGGTTCTATCATCATCATCATCATCATCCAACTACCTTAGTTATAGTTTATTAACGATCCATGTACATTCGACTTTCCCATTACCCATTGTTACTATCACCGACACATCGGCATTGCGACATCGCACAGCGAATATTTTGGATATCTGGGAGCCGCTGCAATAGCAGTAGCAGCAGTAGCAGCAGGAATCTAACAGGGGTTGCTAACAAAGGTTCCAACCCAGCTCAAGCGTAATGGACTAGGATGTATTGGGATGGGCTACTCGTCGTTTACATACAAGGGAGAGTTCATCAAATCATGCGGGGATATTTATTATATATCTATGCGTGTCTATTGATGCACATGGTGAATTAGGTGATAATCTCGATACTCCATCCTCCCCCCCTCAATACGTAGTACACTGTATCATCCGTGTATAACTTGTTCATACTTACTAAAGTCATCATATTGTTATTAACTGTAAGAATAATATAACGGTACTGTCCATCATATCAAGTGGACAGTATTGGGTATAACTATTTTGTTAGGAAGGTAATAACGTACGTAGAAGAACTTTCTAGTATATTCATGACTGTAGACGACAACGACGACGACGATGGTGTTATAACACTACTTATTGTGTCCCGCCGTAAATTGTAGGTTTGCAAGACGTCGACTAGAGCAGTCACGGCAAGCTAAAGGCTTAGCTGCTGATGGGAAGCCCTTACCTGATAGAATAAGTAATAACATGATGATGACATGTGCCGGGATCGAACCTACAACCTATACTTAGGTTTTGATAAGGATTATCTAGGCCTACAAGCTGACCTTATGTACAGTCTAAATGATCTGGGACCTTCTTCTTCCACTGCTAATTCCGCTACACCATCGGGTATACGAGGATCTATAAATGTAATATCATACATGAATTAGTATTAACCCTAATGATATTAGGTCCTATTGAATCGTGCTGACACTGGTTATGTTCGAAAGATTGTTAAGTTCGCTAATACTGTCACTGGATCTACAATACTCTCGACAACTGCTTGTTACTTCTTAGGATATGTAATACCTTTATAGTATAATTACCACCCTTATATCTATGCTTAGATGGATACTTATGATACTATACCTTTCATCACAGCCTTAACTACAATGTGGGTCGGTAATAATAAGGGATATATACAACTCACACTAGAGGTGGTCATGTATGCCTCTGCCACTTATCTCTAGGTTTACATGTTTACCTTACAACTTATGTATCTCGAATAGTGGTTGATACTGGCAAGGCACAGATGGCGATTCGAGCTCACAGTCTATCAGGAAGGCCTAGCAGACCAATAGTGGTGAGGAGGAGGACATGATTCGAATTCATTGCAACGTCGGATATAGTACAATAGTTAGGTTGTTGGATGGCAAAGCTGTAGGTCTCGGGTTCAATTCTCATACTTGTTGTTTAGTTCCCTGTACATGGTATGGAGAAAGTAGAAGTCGGTGATAAGTACATACGGTTCCCGTACTAAGAAGCAATTCTGGACTATATCAAGAATATTTCCTTTTCCGAGTTTCCCAGATGCATACTATATCTGGTACAAATCTATCA